GGCTTTAAGGGTGCCCTTTCCGGTGAGATGTCTAAAAAGCACCTCGTGGAAGGTAGCGACCGATCAAATAACGTATTTGCTTCAATCTCATCTGCAATTTCCACATAAATCGGAAATGTCTCGTAATTGCGGAAGTTCTGGGTGAATTTCAGGGAACGCGGTTCGATCAGCTTTAGACACCAGTTGTGTTTGTTTGCTTGATATGGAGGGCGCCCTCTAGGTTTTTTCACAAAAGAGCAGTCTTGTTCACGATGAGATGTCCACATAATGGGTTGTTTGAAGTTGAAATAATTTTTTGTCGAACTGAGTTTTCTCGGACTTGATAAAGTATTCTTTTCCTTACCGAGAGGACCCATTTGGGATAAATTTCTTCAAAACCCTGGTCGATATCATTTTGAATTGAACGGAAAGCTCATTTTTGAATAAGCTTTTGTCAGACTGTCTTACTTGAAAGTCCTTTGTCATGAAGTCGACAGACTGTTCTCAAGAAGGAGATATGATCATCCATAAACTGAGACAAAAAACAAAATGACCTTTAGGAATACTGAGAAAATGACTAGCTGGTAAACGCCATGACGTCATGACACCGAAGGACAACATGCGACAACAAGAACAGCCGTGCACGTGAATATGTTTCTCGGCGAAAACAAAGTGGATCAATTAACTGCTGAAGGAAAAGGACGCACTGAAGCGATTGTTGGAATTCAAGCGAACTTTGTTTTCACATAAAGAAATGCTGAAGGACAATGCCACGAGAAGCGTGACCGAATAACAGTGAAAATTAAAAATCGGCAGGGCCATGACTGTGCGACGGAAGTGAGAGTTCGGGGTAATAAAGATGGCAGCTACAAGATCAGCTATTTCCCCAAAGATAGCGAAAGATAAGAGGCAGTAGTCAAAGTGAGCGAAGAACAAGCGCGAGGCAGTCCCTTTCCGACTCTAGTTAAACCCAGACAGTTCTGTCCTGTGTTATCTTTTGGCCAACTAGGTTCGTCTGCTTGAATGTTAAACAAACCCTGGGGAGCGGCAGTGAATGAACGCGATGAAATCGCAGTGACTGATACTGGTAACCACAGAGTTCAGGTATTCAGTAGTGATGGAACTAATACTTAAGATCTTTTGATAGAGACGGTGATAAACAGGGAAAACTCACTCATCCCAGAGGAGAAGCATTTGATAAGAATAATAACATTATAGTGGTGGATACTCTTAACAGCCTTGTTTAACTGTTCAGTAAGCAGGGTGAGTACCTGAGCCAGTTTGGTGGTAAAGGAAATCTTGATCACCAGCTGGATTATCCTCATGGTTTATCTGTAGATAATATAGACAATATTATTGTTGCTGATAGGTATAACGAATCAATTAAGATCTTTTCTCCTGATGGCCATCACTCATGTAAATTCAGGGATGAGGGTTCTTTTACCTTCCCCTCTCACTACGTACAATATGACAAATATCTGGTAGTGTCAGATGCAAACGAATATTGTATCAAAGTGTTTGCTGGAAACGGTAATTTTCTGTAGAAATTTGGAAATAAGGGGAAGGGGAATGGGGAGTTCATTAACCTTTGTCATTTGTCAGTTAACAAGGCAGTCCTGACACCTGATGGTTTGTGAGACTTCAAACATAAGAGTTCTGGTATTTGAGCTGAGTGGAAAATTTGTAACAAAATTTGGATCAAAA